AGTTTGCAAGCACTACTTCACACACAGACAGATCTTGCCCCAGACCACAAAAGGACCAAAAATAAATGGCAGAAGCAAGAGTTCTTTAAACATTGAGGCATCCCCTCCTTCCCACACTTCTCTTCGCCCAGGTAGAGGATATAGAGGCATGTGACCTTTTCTTAATCTAGGCTGGAAGCATGGAGACCCACGGAGATAATGTGATAGAGCTATGAGGGGCTTATAACAAGTGGACACGGCAGATGCCCCTCACGTATACTTAAGTGGAAAGTGTCCATAATGCCACTTGATTTGAGGGTGGTTTTGAGAGTTTGAAGGGAGGAGGGTCTGTGGTTGTAGGAGCCTGACCTGTAGTCCCAGGTGCCGTAGCCTTGGCCAGAATGGAGATTCCATCCTCCTCTATCTGTTCACAACTCTTTTCTTTGAACTGTACTCTAACATTCAATTCCTGTGAACACTTAAATGGTTTTTACTTAATATTACAGATGGAAAAGTATGTAGATATTATCTTAGTCATCAACTTCTGATCAACGTTCTAATTAATGTCATTCTTTGTCATCATCTTAGGTGGTTTACAGAGGTGAGCTTATATTACACACATGTGCACACCTTTGTGCTCTCACACCAAGAACTTCTTACTTTATGCTTGTCACACTCACAAGCTCTCTCTCCACCTCAAACCTAAACTGGACGGGAGACCATTCCAAACTATTATGCATAGAAAACCTGGCAAGCTGAATGGATCTCCCCAACCCCTCTTTACAATTGCATTTTTTTTGGTGTTATTGTTCATGTTTGTTCGTTTTGATTTTCCAACCTCTCTTTACAATTGCATTTTATTTGGTGTTCTCGTCCATGTTTGTTATTTTTGATTTTGGCTGTTGCGTGATATCTTGATTTGACCAAAATAGTACAAAGGCTTAAAAGGACTTATCAAAGTATAAATATAATGATAACAATAGCCATATCAATGCTGTGACTCAGAATATATGAACAGAACTTCTCAACAGAGAAAGTGGATATCATGAACATACACTGTGAACTTCTATCAACTGGGACAAGAAAATCCACGGGAACAATGAATTTTCACACACATAAAAAGGTATTGTTAGAAAGCATAACAATAATTATCTGAAATTGGAGTGCTACTGGACTGAAAATTTCCTCTAGTACTTAGTGAATTATATATTGAAAAATGTCAAATAGAGACATGAAGACATAGTAGCCTTTTCATCTTTTTAAAACAAAGTATTATAATATATCCACTAGGAATAATTTCAGCTGGATTTAAGAAATGAACCCCAAAATAACAGTAGCTTGAATGGAAGGATATTAATTTCTTTTTCTCAAAGAAGTCAGAGGGCAAGCAGTCTAGGGTTGGTATAGCAAGCACATGGTGTCATCAGAGCCCCAGGCTCTTTTCTCTTTATTCTACCATCTGAGGGACTAGCTCCTGTTCTTATTGTTACTTCATGGTCAAAGATAGCTGCTGTAGTTCCAGACATCACAATCCTACTCTAGCCAGCAAAAAGAAGTAAGGATAGGCACACCTGTTCTCTTTCAAGGAGACTTCCCAAAAGTCCTACACAAACACACCTATTTATATTTCACTGAGTGGAACTTAGTCACATGACCATCCTAGCTGCAAGGGAAGTGGGCAGGTAGTCCTCCATCTGAGCAGCATAGCGTCCATCTAAAATGTGAGGTTCTGATACTAAGGAGGAAGGGGAAAATTGGCATCGTATAGCAGTTTCTTCCACAAATGACCTCCAAAGCAAACTAATACATTTTCCAAGGACAAGCACACAATGATGCTTTCTAGTATAATATCAACAAATGTTGTTGCTAAAGGCAAAGAAGAGACCAAAAAGGAAAAACAATATTTAAAGTAGTGCTACTCATGACAAAAATGAGCATTTATTGTACAAATCACAGGAATTTGTAAAACTAGTCACAAAGTTAATAAGTATTATGTTTGAGGGTTACTGGTAAAATTCCTTTATGACATGGTTCTGTTGTGTATTGTTCAATATCAATAAAATGTAATGTGAAGGGGCAATTACTATCACAAGTGTACAATGATAATAAATATCTTGCTTTGCAGCTCTATAAAACCACTGATTTCAGAGTTTTAAAAAGCTCCTGACATTTGTCACATTAAGGGACAAGTGAGGGAAAATTGCTTGACAAGTTTTTGTTCTCTTTATTCCTGAAAACCCATGATGTAGGGAGGATTTTGTTCCTTTAGTTAGCAATAACTTTGTAAGTCATGATGTAGATAGGAAAATATACATTGAGATTAGTTCTGAAGGAGGACTAGTCATGTTTATAGCTAGTAAAAAGAGATGCCATTGAAACATGAAAACACTTACTGTTTTATTCACCTGGAATAGTTGGCCATGAAATAGGCCACAGGTTCTAATTTTAAAAAGTAGAGTGAAAGCCGTAAATACAAATAGTGGCTACTTAGTGCATTAAGTTCAGTGTATTACGCAAAAAATTGGGCAGCAAGTAAAACCTACTGATAGTAGGCAGAACACAGAGAGTCTGTTGTGTGGGTGGCAGTGGAATTGTTCAATGTGTTAACAGTGGTGATCTGGGATGCTACGTAGCTGACACCGTGACTTTGGCCCCCAAGAAGAGAATCCAACCGGGTCTGCCTGTCTCCTGACCTATAGACCTGGGTGTTGTTTTAAGCTGTTAAATTTATGGTAATTTTTTACAACAATAGAAAATGAATAGGATTTGTTCCAGAGGGTTGGAAATAAACCCTAAGGAGATTCAGGGGCCCACAGCATCAATGTAATTTTTAGTCTAATGGTCTGGAGCATTCTGGAACATTCTCTCTAGTTGTGGGCAGATTATTGCCTCTGGTACTTCCCACCACCAGGAAAGAAGACAATGCCTGATAGGTGTCTCTGATATCTGGGTGCAGCACACTGGGAATGTTGATTCAATCCATTTACGGGGTGACATGGAAGATGGCCAGCTCTGTGTGGGTCTCAGAGCAGACAAGGGATCTGCAGTAGGTCCAGGCTCACGGGCCCTTTCACACTGGGTTTGGCACCTATTCCAAACATGGGTTTGCCTTTTCTGCTGGCAAGGCCTCGGCCAGCACCACCGACCGAGGCTTACGAACTGCTTGATCCATAGACGTGGGCTCCCACATAAAATTGCATTGGCTCAAGAGACCAACACTATGCAGCAAAGGAGGTGAATGGTGGGTATGTGACCACGGTGTCTACAGTCCTATCACATACCCCAACCCCCCACAGGCTGCTGGACCGACAGCACACGGGCGCAGTCTGTTGGAGATCCAGCTGAGGCGCCATCTTGGAGAGAACACTCTGTGCATATGGGACGCTATCCTCTAAGATGGAGCAGGTGCTTCAAGTCATTACATATTATATGGTGCTGTGTTTGCAAGATGTGGAAGGTATGGATCCTGAAAGCAAAAGGTGAAAGCAGTAGTGACTTTGCTAACATCGGCCCCGGTGGTCCCTTTGGGGGTTTTGTGCTTCCCTTCTCCGCAACTTTGGATTCTAACGTTTCATTGTCTTGGTTCTTAAAGGGATGATGGGTCCATCAAGGAACACAGCAAGACCCTATTAAGGTCATTAACAGGATTAAGCTCCTGCTCAGTTACCTTAAAGATCTTTCTCCAAGAGACCAGCAGGCAAAGAGAGTAGTCACCATACTGGCAGGAGTAATTGACCCTGACCACCAGGCAGAGGTAGGGCAGCCAGTGGCAGGAAGAATATATCTGACACTCAGGTGATCCACTTGGGATGCTCTTGGTAACTGTTTGCCCAGTTTTGATGGTAAATGTAGCAGCAAACACAGCCTGGGAAGGTCATGGTGACCAGTGGCCCATGGCCACTCTCTTTTTAAAAAATGTATTTTATTGAAGTATAGTTGAATTACAATGTTGTGTTAATTTCTGCTGTATAGCAAAGTGATCCAGTTTTATATATATATATATATATATATATATATATATATACACACATATACAGTCTTTTTCATAGTCTTTTCCATTATGGTTTATCACAGGATATTGAATGTAGTTCCCTGTGCTATACAGTAGGACTTTGTTGTTTATTCACCCTATATATCATAGCTTGAATCTGCTAATCCCAAACTCTCAATCCATCCCTTCTCCCCGTCCCTCCTCGGCAACCACAAATCTGTTCTCTATGTCTGTGAGTCCGTTTCCGTTTTGTAGATAAGTTCATTTGTGTCGTATTTTAGATTCCACATATAAGTCATATCGTATGGTATTAGTCTTTCTCTTTCTGACTTCAATTAGTACGATAATCTCTAGGTCCATCCATGTTGCTGCAAATGGCATTATTTCATTCTTTTTTATGGCTGAGTAGTACTCCATTGTATATATATACCACATCTTCTTTATCCATTCATCTTTCGATGGACATTTAGGTTGTTTCCATGTCTTGGCTATTGTGAATAGTGCTGCTATGAATATAGGGGTGCATGTATCTCTTTGAGTTGTAGTTTTGTAGAGATATATGCCAAAGAGTGGGATTTTTGGGATCATGTGGCAACTCTATTTTTCGTTTTTTGAGGAACCTCCATACTGTTTTCCATAGTACTGTAGCTGCACCAATTTATATTCCCATCAACAGTGTAGGAAGACTCCCTTTTCTCCACACCCTCTCCAGCATTTGTTATTTGTAGATTTTTTAACGGTGGCCATTCTGACTGGTGTGAGGTGATACCTCACTGTAGTTTTGATTTGCATTTCTCTAATAATTAGTGACGTTGAGCATATTTTCATGTGCCTGTTGGTCATGGCCACTCTTATCCAGAGATAAGTGTCTGTGTCATCTCTGTAACCTAGCCACCTAGACCAGCAGAGGTGCTAGTTGAGGGCAGGGAGATTCTAGAATAGGTGGTGGAGGACAGGCAGAATGAGTGTCTGTTACTGCCTGTTCAATGGCAGGGATGGCAGCTTTTCTTACTAACCTTCCTCTTGTAAGATTCTCCTAGGAAAAGAAGCCAAACAGAATACTGGAAGATTTTCTTCCAGAATTTATTATATGAAGCAAGGGGAGCAAGGAGTTGTCTACACAGGATGCCACGGTGTGCCACCCAGATCCCCCTCCAGCTTGTTTCATTCATTCCCCCAGCTGGTAAGAGTGTTGGTGGCAGGTAGCTCTCAGAGAGTTCCCTTTCTGGGACTTTCTGTAGGATGGAGAGAGCTGCCTTGTGCAAAGTTATGCAGAGGAGAGCCTGTAATTAATACTCCAATTTGAGACAACTTTGGAGGATCACCTCAGCCCCAGAGCTTCCTGTGGGATTGACTGAGACCTTTGTTGCCATGGTATTGCAATTCCAATTCACCTCTCCCCATCCCCAATCACTCCCCAATAAGCCTCCTGCACACAAATCTCTATCTGGGAGTATGATTCTTGGATTTCTGACCAGCGACAGAAGGATTGTGCCAGATTACATCCCACTAGAAATACACGAAATGATAGTTTCATCGCAGAATCTCTGGTATTGGATACCTTGGTTTTTAAAGTTGCGGATTTTTTTATCGTGGTTATCTATAAACTTGTGACGCAATATGGTGCACTAGTTTTATTTAGAATTTTAAAAATTACTAGCAAGGTTGAAAATATTCTTACATGTTCATTTGTAAAATGTTTGTAGGCATGACTACTATGGGACCTGGTCTTTATATGTCATCTGGGTCAACGGCCATTTCTTTGTCACTTTCCTACTACTTTCACGTGGCACACAGCAGAAGATTTTGACGCACGCTCGTCTTGTTTACCATCAAATAAGACACTACTTTGTCCTCCAACTTCGCAAATTCCTAGAAGGGCAAATTCATGAAATTGGGTTGGGAATATGCTCAATATAAATAAGTTATTTATTCAAGGGCTGTGAACATACCTCATGGCTTCTCTTCGTTTAAGCTTTTCAAGCTTGTGACTTCACCTCTTCCAAGGCTAGGCTATTTTCTCTGGATTCAGGGCTACATATTTTAGGACTAAATGTGCAGACGTGTCACTCAGCATCCATGGCTCGGTATTGGAATCCCCTTCAGACTGACAAAAACTTCAGCTTTTATCTAATTTCATTAGGAAAGATTAAACAATATCAGGATATTTAGAAGCCTTTTCAAAAGTCAGAAATACTTTAATAACCCTCCAAACCGTACTGACATTTAAAAACTTGATTATGCAAAGAACTTCGTCTCTGGGACATGGGATTACTGACTGCCAAAAATAATTCAGTTGAGACCTGGAATCTTTTTTTTAGCTCCAAGAGAAGCGCTGTTAGTAGGATTAGTTAACAGACCCGAATCCCCATTTTGAGCAAAGACATCATATGTGATTAATGTAATATTTGGAAACAGATACCCCATAACTTAGGATGGCTTAACTTGAGAAGTTCAAATCTTTACAGGCTTATCATAAATAGCACTTTAACCATAATGAACAAACTTCGTATTTATGAATACCTAATAGCTGAAGCTGATGTGCTTTTCGAATAGACTTAAGTCAATGCAAATAATCAGTGACCACACAAGGCGGTGTGTTGATTTGAAAGGTGAAAACAACTTTTGATTACATGAATTCATGATTGGCTAAAGAGCATGCATGCTCTGAACTAAGCTATAAATTCTTAGCTTATCAGTAAGGCATTGATTGTCACTTTAAAAAAAATCTTACGAACAGAGCTTGGGAAACCAACAGGAAAAGGTGGTAAGTGGAGTAAAGGATGGGTGAGTCATTCAGAAAGATACCTGGCTGGCAAATTTCAGATTTCAGGGGAAGCTGAATGGGCTGATATAAAGACAGCGAAGGCTTCTCTGGAGAAGTGAGCTGATGTCTTCAAAGATGAAGGGTACTGTTAAGATAGATGCTTCATGCTTTTGAAAAAGCAGCAGGGTGGTCTCTGTAAGAGAAGTCACCTTTGAAACTCCTCCCTTAGAGTTGACCATTCACACTCATTCACTCATCAGTGGAAAATTTTTCCCCAAGAGAACCAAATATTGAACGCTTCCAGGGTCCCTAGAGCAGTGAAAACTGCTGATTGTGATTACTAAGAAAATTCCCAGGAAAAGACAACATCTTCGGTCCAATTTTCAGGAACCAAACAGCCTAGGCCCACCCTCACCCTCAAGATATTTTAAAATATAGATTTATATTCTGTGTTTGTTTTTACATATTAAATATGTCTGTCGAAGTGTATATCCAAAGCGAGGGTGTTTTCCCAGGATTATTTTATATTTTAATTATATGGAATGGATTTTATGGAGTGAAAGTCCAATTCAAGAGTCAACTCTGGGACTCTTCTAGCTGTCATCCACAAACTTCATTGTATATCATGTGTCAATAATATTTGCATTTCTAATTCCAGTTTGTCATACCTTCTGAGGCATGGAGAAAGGAAAAGAAGAAATGAGGGTTAACAGCCATTGAGCGGCGCTCAGTTTGCAGACAATATGCATAAAAGATCTTACTTAGTCTTTATAAGCACCATTGCCAAGTAAGTATTATCATCTACATTTTTTTAGGGGAGGAATCTGAGGCTCAGGGAGGTTAAGCAGTGTGTCCAGGGTCATCAAAGTTAGTAATTGGCAGAACTGAGACCTAACTGCAGGTTTATTTTTGGAGGCTGCTTTTACCAATAATCTATCCTATAAGAAGATAAAGGTATGGCATTACATTATTAGTTTGAAAGTGACCTTTGTGAGTTTTACTTCTTTTGATCCAAAATATGCCTAGCTCCGTGCTGGGTACACAGTAGAAGACCAACGAGGGTAGGTGAGGAAATGGATAAAGCATGCCATTTGGAACTGTAGCTCTCAGGCTCCAGAGCCAACCCCCCGGGCTCAGTTCCTGGATTCACCACTAAACATATACGTACCCTGTGGCAAGTCTGTTTATTCATAAGGCAAAATGGGGATGCTACTACTTATCTTTCAGGGTGGTTGTAAGGATTAATTGAGTTGATGCTACTAAATTACTTAAAATAGTGTCTGGTACATAATCAGTTCTCAGTGAATATCACTTTTTTTTTTTTTTTTCGATACGCGGGCCTCTCACTGTTGTGGCCTCTCCCGTTGCGGAGCACAGGCTCCGGACGCGCAGGCTCAGCGGCCATGGCTCACGGGCCCAGCCGCTCCGCGGCATGTGGGATCCTCCCGGACCGGGGCACGAACCCGTGTCCCCTGCATCGGCAGGCGGACTCTCAACCACTGCGCCACCAGGGAAGCCCTGAATATTAGTTTTTATTGTGATTGATCAGATAGATTCTGTCAGATTGTAGGCATGTGAACTTGGGTGAGCCTCAGTTTCCTCATCTGTAAAATAGGGAAAAATAATTTGTCTTTCATGGCTATTTTGTTTAGCAAGCATAGCTTTTGTCTGCATTCAGCAGGTATTAATTCACTTAACGCTGGGTAGCAGCCTAAAGAGGCAGGTACCCTTCTGATCCCCATTTCGCAGATGAAGAAACTGAGGCACTGAGAGGGTAAATGTTTTTTTCAAGGTAATACAACTGGTAATTAGTTGAATTGAGATTCAAACCCAGACACTCCAGCTCAGAGTTTGAATTTGTAATGATGACTCAATGCTACAGATGCAATGAAATAATATTTGTAAAGCATTTGTCCGGTTCCTGACACATAGCAGAAGCTTAGTAGGTATCAGCTCTTCTCCCATCTTCTCAATAAATACCTTTAGAAATTCTCATGGGATGCAAAATGATGTGAATTTATCAGCTGGTCTACTTGCTTTCCTAACATGCCCAAGCTTGTGTGATAGCAACATCTCTGTGCTCTTTGGGGGTACCCAGAAATGTGTGAACATATTTCTCTCAGATTAGGCCCATCTTAGATCATCTTTTCTGTTAACGCGTTGGAGTACCAGGAAGAAAGACATCAATGTGCACTCATGCGTGTGCAGTGATATCCTGGAGAGCAGCTGTCAGCGATGACAGTTTGCAGCAGAACAGCTGGAGGGCAGAGCTGATGTTTCTAATGACTGAGAACAAGTAATGGAAGTAAGGCAGCCAAAGAGATGGTGCCCGCAGCAGTGCACACCGCCCCACGCTACTGTTCAGAGTTCCCTGATGAGGAAGCCGTAAGAATTCCAGGTGGGACAGTTCTGTGCCGTGCAGGACTGTCCTTAGAAAATCAACCTGGATTATTTCACACGTTGTCGGATTTGTAGCATTCTTCACTCTCAGATACGAAATGCCAGTAACTCCACTGTCACACGAACGACTAAAAATCAAAACTAATCTATGCTTCCACACATTGCTTCCCTGCCGTTAAGAGGTGGTGTGTCACCTCTGTTGAGAACTGCTTCTGGTCAGGCCCACGGGGTTCACCTGGGATTATGAGTAGAAGGCTTCATTTTATATTGCCTTGCAGTTTACAGTCAGGGGGCAGCCTGGAAACCTTAGCATCAGCGCCCCCTGGGAGCTTATTACAAATGCAGAACTTATGCCCCACCCCCAAACTATGACTCAAAATCTGCATTTTAACAAGATCCCCTGTGATTTGCATGCACATTAAAGTTTGAGAAGCATTATCATACTAAATAGAAGATGGGCTTTGGAGTAAGAAGGACGGGATTGAAATAGAGACTGCCTCTTACTAGCTCTGCGACCGTGGGAGGGTCACTTAACCTTTCTAAGCCTCAGTTTCTCCATTCTGGAGGAGAAGAGGCCAACAGCCAGGTGACGCTGGGAACCCTTGAAAGGCAACGGAAGTCTCAAAACTGTGCCCCCATGAGGAGGGCTGCTCCGTGAGCTTGACTGCTTTTCAGAAATGGATGTCCAGGAGGAGACAGCACAACCGCTCCAACAGCCTCTGGGCCTCAGGACTGGAGATTTAATCACCGTTGGGGCTTACTTATCCCGTATATCATTGATCACTTATCAGCTCCAGAGCTTGCTTTCGTGGCCCAGCAAACCCATCTGCAGCCTGGAATTTCCTCATCGGTGGGAGGTCGATTGGAGGGATGCGGAGGGCAGTGTGGCTGTTGGAACTTCCACGGTGAAAGTGAATAAATTAAAGGAAACCCTGCTCATCCCAGCAGGTCTCTTTATCATGCTCCAGCTTTCAGAAATCTGCATCCTTCTCCTCACAAGACCCCAAGCAGAGGCAGGGAGCTGGGAGCCATCGGTGGGTGGATGGGGCCAGGGATGGCCATGGCTCTGCCTGCAGCAAGCAAAATGCTGAGACGGGTTTTGAACCCTTTGTCTATCTTCTCCCCCGACCTTTTTTTTTTCTTTTTTTTTGCGGTACGCGGGCCTCTCCCTGTTGTGGCCTCTCCCGCTGCGGAGCACAGGCTCCGGACGCGCAGGCTCAGCGGCCATGGCTCACGGGCCCAGCCGCTCCCCCCACCTTCTTTTTCTATTTGTTGGGAGTGGATGAGTGGGGTGGAGGGCTAGCGGGAGGGGAGAGGATTTGGTACATTATATGCAATGTGAGCTGTTCTCTCTCTTCCATGTTCATTTAAAATTTAGGTCAAAATAAAAATATATGCATTTTGTGGGTTCATAAAACTTCATTTACTGTATCTTTAAAGAAAACAGAAATAACAGCAATGTATATAAAAGTAATGATTTAATGACTATAAGCAAGACAAAGCAATAGTGTTATAAAAACAGCGTCCAGTTCAGTAGCTCCCTTTCTTTTCTCCAGGCCCCAAGTTGTACTCACATTTTGACAGAACATTTGCGTTGCCACGTAAAGAACCACGACCAGAGGAGATGGTGGCAGAGGATAAAAGGAGACTGCGAGTGGGAGAAGAAAGCTATGGACAGCAACGTGTCACGTGACTAGCTGCTGAAAGGAAGTTTTTTGTACCTATGCATATTCTCCTCCTTGCTTTGATAGGGATATAGGCATATATATTAATCAGTTCCTTTTCCCACCTTTCTCATGCCCCCTCTAGCCAATATAAAGCAGCTAACCCTATAATTTGGCATTTAAGTCACAGGAAAGCAAAGGAATATTGCATCTGAACTAGGAATGAATATTCTCGGAGATAAGGTGACATATGGGAGGCGGTGTCTTTCTTTTCCAGGAGCAGGTGAGTACATCCTCAGTTGTGTAAGGGACAGTTGTATCACATTAGGGATAACAGGATGTTATGTCTTCTGGGGGAAGTTCTAATCTGGGGAAAGACGAATGGACTGTACTGTCTGTGTTCAGCTCAGCATCGCTACCACCCTGCGCTCTGCAATACAGAGGAGAGGGCAGAAACCACGCTTCTTGCAATTCCCTTTCCTGAAAGGTTCTGGCTAGAACTCGTCCGTAAGAGGTTCTCAGGTACAATATGGAAAAGGCAAGGCCATTCTCCAGAAGCTGTCGCCAGCAGGTGTGTGGGCAGCTGCGCGCCCCCACCCCGAGCTCCTGAGAATGACCTGCCTCACTGCTGCAGCCTGAGACACTGCAGCCTCCCGGAGACCCAAGAACGTCAGCAGTTATTTGGCATGGTTTCCCTCACCTCTTCTCCTCCCGCTCTCACAAAGCCTGCGTAAGACTCTCATTTCTATCTGAAATCCTTAACTTCATAGTAAGATTTTAATATATATCCCAGAAATTCAAGGAAAAGTGTTTTTTGTTTTGTTTTTTTTTCCCCTGGTGAACCCTAGTTACAGGGCTGACTGTCCTGGCACAGGGGCTGAGCTGTGGTCATTTGTGTCTCACACCACCCGACAACATCTGGCTTCTGACTGACTGGAACTTTTCAACACTCTGCCCAGCAGTGTTTGTTGCGGTGGTTTCTGTCCAAGTGTCAAGGGAGACGTGGTCAGTGGGGGAATAAGAGGGCGGTCTGGACCATCTCACCGTAGCTGCTGTGTGGTCTGGGGCCTGGGAAGGGTCAGCCTGGAGTCCCCTGCTGTTGATTACAGAGGTTGTCAGGTGGGTGACCTTGGCTGGCAGTGCGAGAATCTACACAGAGGCAGCTAAGAGCCTGGTCGGCCGGGTGCCCTAAGAGTGGCCCCCTGGCTACTCTAGAAACCTTCCTATAGGTAGGGATCTTGCTTCTGCAGCCTTGGCCTCGGGTTGTCCCACTGGGTTCACTGGGATGGCTGGCCCAGTGTACGTGCCAGGAACCTCTGGCACACAGTGAGGGCTCTGTGGAAGTGGTCAAGAGCATGGACTCTGGAGGTGCACTGGTGACATCTGAATTCTGCCCCACAACTTACCAGCTGTACGACCTGGGGCAAGCTTCTAAACCTGTTGGCCCTTAGTCTTCTCATCTGTACTGATGGGGATATTAACAATATCTCTTCACAGGGATGTTAATCCATGTAAAATGCTTAGAACAGTATCTTTGACACAGTTAGTCTATGTGAGAATAAGCATTATTATGACGACCCCAAGGAACGACGAGTTAGCGCAATGATGGAGCCTTCGGACAAGAGGGGGCAGTGACACCAAAGGCAGCGTCCCTAGTCCAAGGCTGCTGTGGGCTCACATCCGACTCCTGGGGAGAGCAGGGAGGCTGCAAGGGGACAATAAGAGAGAGGTTTTCACTAAAACGCTGGGTGACAGCAGGGGCCTGTGCTCTTGCAGAACTGGGGGGAGGGGAGGCAGTCTCCCCGTTGGCAGAGAACACAGCCCAGCGGGGCAGCGGGAGTCAGCAGAAAGGTGACAGTGCCTGGCAGGGGGTACGTGCTCAGGAGCTGACTGGGCTCGCTCTGGGCTCCACACCAGGCACCCTCGAGATGGCCCAAAATAGCTGAGCGGGACTTTGCAAGGGATCTGACAGTTTTAAGACCTGGGTTATATTTACATCAGATACCAGTCCCGTGGGTGGAAATGGCTCTGCTGACAGACAGACCTGGTTTGAATCCCACCTCTGCCACTTACTGAACAGTAAATGCTTGGATAGCAGGGGGCGTCGCATTCACTGTGGAGCACACAGAAGGATTCAGTCCATGCGTGAATGAATTTAACGTCCTGGAACCTCAGTTTCCCCATCTGTAAGATGGCAAGAGTGTAATGACCCCTGAAGCTGATGCAAGGGTTACATTAGACAATTGCCCACAGGCACCTAAAATTCCTAGTGAATATACATTGCTGCTTTTGTTTTTAGTAAATATTCAGTGTCTTGCTTAAATAGAAACCCAATACATTTGTTGACTGGAACGGATTAATGCTATTTTAGTGAAGAAAATGTAGTCCATTCTACACTTGCCAAAGACTACATCCTTTTTTTTTTATCGGTACGTGGGCCTCTCACTGTTGTGGCCTCTCCCATTGCGGAGCACAGGCTCCGGGCGCAGGCTCAGCGGCCATGGCTCATGGGCCCAGTCGCTCCGCGGCACCTGGGATCTTCCCGGATCGGGGCACGAACCCGTGTCCCCTGCATAGGCAGGCGGACTCTCAACCCCTGCACCACCAGGGAAGCCCCAAAGATTACATCCTTTAAGAGAAGAGGTCATACCTCTTACAGGTGTTTTCCCAATTTGATCAGTGTTTTTCAGTGTCATTCATGACTCAGTCCTTTCTGACAAAAATCAAAATATAGCCACTAGCTATTGGTGCATACTGTTGAATATTAGGAGAGTAGAAGACTGAAGATAGGTTACTCAGTGATTGAAACAGATTATGACCTGACTTGGAAAAGCTATACTACAGGGAAAACATGGATCTGGAACCAATAATTCATAATATGTAAACACTACACATTATTATTAGGCTTTTTCTTTCTATACACACTTAATGTGTTTTCCAACCAATCCTGCTCAGGCAAGCTTGGAATAACGGAGTTGTTACTTGCTTTCGTGCCCACGGCGGGTCTTCGAGAAATGACCGAATGATCAACGGGGAAGGGTCTTTTTCACGTCTGGTTCTCTTTGTTCATCTTGAGTCCTCCCCGGCAATCCTCCATGCTGTGCCGCTGGAAGCCAGGTACCTAAACATATGAAATCTGACCTCAATTTTAAATCCATCATCAAATCAACTTGCTCTAGCCTGCAGGTGGATCCGCTGCTCTCCTATGTTGCAAGATACATGGCCTTTGTTATCGCTGCGTTCTTCAGAATCAGAATAGTCTTCGGTTGGCTTCTGGAGGTGGAAATTATATTCTGGATGATTGAAATTGCTTGCTATTTAACTGTCAGATGGATGGGTATGCCGAATTTTTTGAAGGAGAGCAAAGCAAGTATCAAATGGACTGCTGCTGCCTTAACGTGACTTATCACGGATCGCTACCTGTTTATTGAATCAAAGTGTTTATTTTTATAACTATTTTATAAGGCATGGTACATGGTTAAGAGTAAAATCATTGCTTGTAAAGTTTCTTCATTTCTGACATCCTTCAATTCTCTTTCAAGATCAGAGAGAACTTCCCACTCTGCAGAAAGTATTATTTATTGATGTGGGATAAATTTTCTCTAAGAACAAGCCAGGACTACTTAATCTGAGCAGTACTGAGCATAGGAACCGAACGGCCTGAATAACAAAACATATCAAAATGGGAATCAACACTGTCAGATGCAAGCTTTTAAGAACTTTAATTGATATCATTATCATTAGTATGCAATACGTCTTACAACAAATGTAGATACAATGAGATCAAATATCAAAGAAGTTGCAAGTTTTTCCATCTTGAAATGACGTTGGCTAACTCACCCCAAAAAAGCAATCTGGCATTGGTCTCTTGGTTAGCACTATTACCAATATCAACTAGCACTTTAAAATCAAAGTTGAAATGGTACATTCATTTGCCAAAAAGAGATAAAAGGCAAAGAAGGTGAATCAACGTGCAAATTAGCATCTGGCCCAGTTGCAGAATTCATTTCCCAGATGCGAGGGATTGAACCATGCACCCTTGCAAGCAAGATAAAGGGCAAACAGATGACAGTAAACCAAAATCAACTCCACGAAGAACTCAGAAAACTTTGGGATGGTAAAGGCCAGGTCTACTGCTGTTAGCGTTCAGGTATCCATATGTGTTACCCTAACTCAATAGTCTGTGAGACCTATGTCCCGGGCCATCCTTTCATTCAGGGATGGAAACCATCCTTCACGGTCCCAGGAGTCAGGCGGCGGCACTGGGGGTTAGCTTGGAGTTGTAACAGCTGTCTGTATCTAGTTACTATACAGCTGTCGTTTCATAGATTTAAGTAAAAACAACACATCAAACAAGAAACTGAGATCACGTATACATTTATGTAATACTTAAAATGTCTATAAATATTTTTCTCCAGAAATTGAAAACACTGTAGACGTGATTTCATTAATCCTCACAACACATTTGTGAGGTAGCATGGGGTGAGGTCCGTAGGACAGCATCACGCCCGACTAAGAAATGAAGACACAGACGTCCAGGGAGGGCAGGAGACTTCACTGGGGCCACGGTAAAAGAAAACAAACTTGAACCCCACTCTGTCATTTGCCATCTGTGACCTAGAAGAGGCTGCTGGCCTCTCTCCTGCTCTGACATTCTCTCTAATGCATTATGACTAGTCCGGTCCCTGGAGAGTACATGGTTGTTTTAGACCGACTGGAACCATTTCCCTTAAGTAGGCCTGAACAGACTCGCTCCCTGAGGTAAAGGACGTCAGTTATTGGCATATATTTCAGGGGTGTGTGTGTGTGTGTGAGTGTGAGTGTGCTAAGCCATATCTGTTGAATGCAGTTGTTAACATTTTTGGCCAACTCAAAAACAGAAAAATGCACTTGGCAAAATAAGGTTCAACCCATTGGTATTTTACACTAACATAACAAGGAGTGTTAGTTTATGGGAAGCTGTCGCCTTGCTGAACGCGTCTGCTGTAGGTCCAGATCCCTCTCTTTACCCTAAGGATCCAGAAATTAATAAGAGCAACCAACCCATCAAGCGCTCTTGTACAACAGCAGCCTTGGTAGGGAAAGATGCTAGCTGAGTCAGGATTCCCTGGGAAGAGGCTGGTCCCTCTCACCCAGTATTTATGACTGAGCAACACCCAGAAGACCACCTCTCCAAAGGTGCTTCACGGACGTTTTGTCAACACATCTGTGGCCGAGGGAGGAAAAAAAACATATGGAATGTCCTGTCGTTGTTGAATTGTCCTTTGCCGAACTGAAAGCCTATAAAGGGGGTGAGGGTAGGAAAGAGGGATCATTACTCAGGCCAAGCATGGTCAGAAGGGGTACCCTTGGTCATTCCTGGCCATTTTTCTGAGAATGTCCACTTTCTTTGTCCAATTTCTTTCAGAGCGGGGGATTGGCACATCATGGAAAGTGTCACCGGCCCTAACGTCTCTGCCACCAGAGAAGTTTAGCCCAGCACGGTAGCGGCTGTTTTCATGTCAGTACTTTTGCTGGGCCACAGTGAGTGACAGGAGGAGTTGAGGGTCAAGTTTCTGGAAACTAAACAGAGTCATGGCAGCAGGTCCACGTTTAGAAATAAAATATGATGCAGTTTCAAGTTCTTTATGATAGCATAGGATACCGTGACACATTCTGAAACAGAACCCAATGTATATTTTCTACGCTATGAAATCAGGACTAAAATGCTGGCTGCTAATACACAGGTGTTTCAGGAGGACAGGGTTAGAGCCATGAAATAAAGCTATCTAGAAAACACACAGAAATAAAAAGGCAACCATGCATAGCAAAAACAACCCATCCGCCGACACTAAATACTTTCGAGATAAAAATTGAGCGAATCGTTTCATTTAGGTAAAAGTAAAAACTATCCCTAACCTGGGGCGTCTTGTTTTGTCGCAACGAGCATCACAATAAATTAGAGTTTCTCACACTCGGCACTATTGACCTTTGGGGCCAGATAACTCTTAGTTGGGGTAGGCTATTCTGTACATCGTGGGATGTTTAGTGCCTCCATGGCCTCTACCCAGTGGTAGCACCCCCAGATTGTGACACTCAGAAAGTATCACCAGGCATTTTCAAATGTTCCCTGGATGGGGGTGGGGAAGCACAATTACCTGCTGTGAGAAGCACTGCTGGAAACGGATGCCCACAAGATGATCAGCTCTTTCTCAAAATTCGTGATGCAGGATTTGAAAACTAGGTACCCAGGGGTGTCCATTTATCAAACAGCAGAATTAGTAAGGTAAACATTTGGGAAAAGTGAACGGATTAATCACTGTGTCTGTACGGAAAAGCCTCACTGAGCAACCGCAGACAAACTAGTGCCTTTAAAAAATTAACAGCAATAAGAACAACAACAAGAACAACCAGTTTACAGCCTTTATCGAACAGACAGTAAGGCAGTGAACCAGTTGCTTTGGGGGTAGAAAGCAAGGAGTCTACAGGCTCCTTCAGGCAGTGGATGTCTCTGACAGTTACAGAGGGCAGCTCTTACCTTCCCTAATGAGGTACGCGGTGTATGTTACACGCCCCTTCCCTCCCACCCTCCTCAACGCCCCCATTGCACACTCACTTCACACGTCTCTCCCTTTCTTTTCTACAGCTAAACTCATCTCACAGCCTTCTCCTGTGGAACCGCTGAAAGCTTGTGGGCTGGGGTCCCAGCTGCGGTTGACTAGAACGGGCATCCTCAGCAGAGACAGGTGTCCTGGAGGGGAGGCCAGGTAGCAGGCAGGCTGAGATCTGACAGCAGCCTGCTACTCTGCCCCTCCGCCAGCTGGCCTCCCCCAGGGCACCTTCTAGGTTCCTCTTTCCTTAATTAGGCAGCTAAGAAACTGGCATCCAGCTAGCAGAGCCAAGCAGGTGTCCTGTGGGACACAACCAGATAAATTGAGATTAAAAAGGAATCTGAGAAACCCCTGCTTCCTTACCTGCAGGGCAAACTCCTCCCAGCACTCATCGCCTTTCCCCTCATTGAGACTGAATGTAATCTCCTAAAGAAAAGTTTAAGAAATACCACACACTGAAAGTTCCCCTAAAAGGAACCCTTGACAACACAACTTGATCCCTCTTCCTGTTTCTTCTCGCAGTGGGACCTGCGCTGGGTACAGACACCTCCACCGTGGCGTCCGGCCTGGACAGCGTAGGGTTGGCCCATGTCAGCTGCATGTCAGACTCCACTCACTTTTAAATAATTTTCTTTCTTTCTTTTTTTTTTTTTTGGTACCGGAAAGGGGAAGTTGTAGCAGCCAGAGGAGAGGGAGGAAAACAAAACAACCAAACCAACAAAACAGGGCTTAGGATGGTTGCTCAATGCACATCAGGTACTTGTTATTAATTCTACTGGATAAGCACTGATAAATAACGACAGTTACTCCTCATCTCAGGCCACCTTCCTTTGTTAGGAGTCGTCGTACAGAGGATTGTTGTAGTTTCCCCAGGACCCGTAGTCGTGGTCATCCAAGAGCCTTCCGTAGGAGGAATGCCTGGTGGGAAGGAGAAGAGGGGTGTGGTTATTTGGAGAAGTTGCCCATCTGTGGACAGCCCCGTGCCCTGGGGCCTGAACCGGGGAGAGGAGACACAGTTCTTCACTAGGACACCCCTCGGTAGCAGACGCACCAAGCCGGGAGGCCCCAGTCCGCAGACACCTTGTAAGTTATGACTGATCCACTGGGAGCCCAACTGGCGCCTTCTGTCGAGATCAGCTGGGTCCTTGTCTCTCTCCTTGACCTCCAATGCTGGAGGAGGAAGAGGCCCCTTTTCCATGGCTATTTAATAAGAAGTAATGGGAAAGGGAAGGTTGCGTTCCTGGCATTTTGGCTTAGGTCCTGGACTTCATTTTCCCTGAAATGATAACGACACAACCAGAACCGCTGTTGCTCTCACCACGCCCTCCTGACCTTTATATAATGTTTTATAAGCTACAAAGTTCTTCTATGTTCCGTGTTCACTTGATCCTCAGAATAAAACCATGGGCCAGGTATTGTTCATCCTTATTTCTCCGACGAGGAAAATGGGGCTCAGAGATGTTAACTGACATGCCCAAAGTCACCCAACTGAGCTATGAGTCGAACCCTCACCTCCGGGATCTGAAGCCAGTTCTCTGAGCTCAGCTCCCTGGAGTCTGCTTAGCACTTTAGCTCAACGGCAATATGGGTTTATCCGGCTTTGCTGGCTCATTCTGGCAACCTGTTCCACGATTAATGTTATTTCAAAAAGAAACTGAAATCAGATGCTTAGCACTCTTCCGTGTGAAGCCTTTAAGTGGCCCGTCATCCCACACAGAGTCAAAGCCAAAGTCACTACGATGGTTTGCAAAGCCCTGCAGGGTCTGGCTCCTGTCACTTTTCTGAGCAAACCAGCTACTATGCCAGTGCCTTTTGCTCGGTTCCAACCACACTGGCCTCTTTGCTCTCTCCTCTCATGCCTGACACACTCTTGCCTCAGGGTCTTCGCACTTACTGTTCCCTCAGCTTGGAGCAATTGTCCTCCAGATCTCCACATAGCTCATTCCCTCATTGCCTTACATCTGCCCAAATGTCACCTTCTCAGGGAAGCCTTCCTTAGGAGCTCTATTTAACTAACCACTCCCCGCCCAAAGCACTCCCTGCTTAATTTTTCTCATAGCACTCACCACCTTCTAACATGCGATACAATTTACGTATTTATTTTGTGCCTGCCTCTCTCCTCAAATTAGACTATACACACGGATTATTTGCCTGTTTCGTTTGTTCTTGCCTCTATCTCCAGCACCTAGAGGAGTAAGTCCTTGATAAATGTTTGTGGCAGAAACAGTGATAGGAAAAAATACATCCTGAACATCCAATCTGTTCACAAGGTGGGAGCTTCCTGGAATGGTTATGGCATTTTAAGAATAAAACCAATGACAAGATTTGGAGAACACCACAAAATGAGCATCTGGTGCCTCTGAGGTTCAGGCTAGCTTGTGAATTTTGACACCTCGCCACTGGAAATCAGGTAGGCTATCTATAGTACAGATGAACATACCCACTCCCCCTAACTTTTTTCTCAGCTAGATATGAAAGTTAAACAAAATGAAAATACAGCCCGAGAGGCACAAAAAGCTTTTGCTATATACTTCTATCTGTTGCTAAAATAAGCGCTGTCACTCTTCTAAGCTTATTTACATCTGTCAGGTAGTTGAAAAGAGATGCTTGACGTGCTGGCTTCAGACTCCTAGCTTTCAAAATTCTGATTTCAGTCCCGAGGGCTGGCTCAGTTGACCCAGTCTATACACCTGGAAACTTCCACAAAATAGTCTGTTTTCCCTGAAGACCCACACTCATTTCTGTGGGTGTAAGAAGGAAAGAGGTCACAAATAACACACCACTGATTTACTGATTGGCAGGAATAGGGGAGGGCAGTGTTGGTAAATGAGGTCCCGCCCATCCATCGCCAACACTTCCCCCACACCTAAAACCTCCAATTCCAATCAAATTCTTTAATAGGAGGGTTGAGAAACGGAAGTTATAGACTGAACAAGTAGAAACCTAGGGATTACAAGACTGGAGCTGGGCCTAAGTTTCAGCATGACTTACTGTGACAAGTCTGGCCAAAAGGGACCCAATAGGCACCTTCTTTTATTGATAGGATACCCTGTCTCACCGCTGTGTGCTTTCTCACAGCATTTTTATATCTATCATATAATTTGATCCTCATAAAATGTCAGTTGAGCCTACAGATGTATGTCCTTGAATATATTTTTAACTCCCTGTTTCTTCGTCTATAAAACGGAGAAACAAAAAAATTGCGTTAGGATTGGTGGGTGGATTAAATGAGGTCATGCATATAAAAGACCTGGCACATAGTAAATGCACAATAAATGTTGCCCAATATTGCTTTTTAATTTTTATTATAATGAAACGTACACAAGCGCATGACAGATCTGCAAATAGAAAAGGATACTGAGTGAAAAGTGCGCCTCCCTCACATTCTCCAGGAACTCCTGAAACTATGCCCCAGGCATAGTTATAAAACCAGCTTCTTATATTATAACTTAAAAAAAATTATTATCATGCGAGAGTGGGGTTAGAGGATTAAAAATCTTCTGGGCGTCAGGTCTTACTGCTCGTGGTTATTGTAGGCAAGACTATTTGATCAGAGCTATACCTGAATCTGCTGTATTATAAGAGATGTCTACTACACACACACTAGTAAAATAAAGGAAAAAGATGGAGCCTTCATTTTTCTTTGTCTTCTCATTTGAATGGACTGTGAGTTGAGCAAAATACTGATAAATGAGGGAAGCAAAGCAAGAAATAGAGATAAACCATGTTTGGGAGTATACTGAACCTGCAGGGCATGTTTTAATGTAATAAGAGCCTAAACGAGAAGAATTGGGTGTGCTGGGATTCAAGCCAGGTTTGGATAAATCCTGTAATACTGTGGAAAGAGGAAGACAAACACATTTTGTGTGTGAGTGTGTGTGTGTGAGATAAGAAGAGAATCATTAATGATCACTTTAAACTATCTCTCTTGGTCAGAACCTCTTAAATCATGGCATGTTTTAGATGGAAATGGGGGAATTTTTCAGATTGGCATTTGTCAGGTCTAAAGTGGTGAAAAAACTCCCACTCTCGGGGCTTCCCTGGTGGTACAGTGGTTGAGAATCCGCCTGCCAATGCAAGGGACACAGGTTCGAGCCCTGGCCCGGGAAGATCCCACATGCCGCGGAGCAACTAAGCCCGTGTGCTACAACTACTGAGCCTGAGCTCTAGAGCCCGCAAGCCTCAACTACTGAGCCCATGTGCCACAACTACTGAAGCCCACGCACCTAGAGCCCGTGCTCCGCAACAAAGAGTAGCCCCCGCTCACCACAACTAGAGAAAAGCCTGCACACAGCAACGAAGACACAACGCAGCCAAAAATAAATAAATAAATAAATAAACAAAAAACCCCTCCCACTCTCAAGATTAAGAAGGTGGGGCTCGGCCCAAGGGATCTGGAAGACTGTCACTGTGACGTACTGGGAGAGGTGGTACTAAAACGAAGGCCTGTTGGCTCTGTACTGCAAGGCTGCTGCGTTTAATTTCAATCTTAAGAGCACTCTGTATGAATGACATCCTCGTCATGTCAAGGCAGTTTCATTTACTCCATTTCTTCATAAAGACCGCACCCAGCAAGCCAGCATAGCTAAGTTTTCCATTTGCTGTGCGTTGGCTTCCTTAGACAGTAAACCTTCCGGGGGCAGACTACGTCTTACTTTGCTTCTCATTTTCTGAATGTCTGATACGTTGCTCTTCATGTGATGGTACTTTTATAAATACTTGTTAATAACTGCTTACATCCAGTAGCATATAAACAGTACACGGAGTAAAGGCACAGAGTTTACTTTGTCAATACCAGCGGGGATTAGTATGGCCTGTGGCGATGCATTGTGCAATATAACCATGGCAAAGCGAAAATACCTTATTCAAGAACAGAAAGGGCCAAAGCCACCATTTTAACCTTAAAGATAGGAAGAGGGAAGAGAACTACCACTAAATTTCTCCCGTGTGATGACATGGCTTTGAAGCACTCAGTATAGGCCCACAGTCCTTGTAAATCAATGACACTGTGCTTACTGTCACTATTGTTCTACTGCGTGGGATGATTTAGTTAGCTAAAAGCAGAACCTGAGGGGACAAAATAGGGAATGATTTCTGTGAAGCCCTTGCCTCACTGCTTCCTTCTCAAGTGGTTTTGCTCTGACAAAGCAACACTCCCCACTCCCCGCAGTCACAACTGGTGATGCCTTGTTGGTGACAACTGGTAAATGTGGTGTGACATTTATGGTTTGAGGCCTTCTCCACAACTGTTAAAAGGTACCTATTTTAAGATAGCTATAGCATCAATACTTAATGGAACTCAACGCTCTTTGAAAATGAATGAGGTGTTTAACTTTTTTCTGTGTTGAGACAGACATATTTTAGAAAACACCTTCTCCTTTACAAGGGTCAACCCCGGTTCCCCAGCAGGTCTCCAACTCTGTTTATTACTACTCCTTCCAAAGTCCTCTCCTGTCTAGTAAAGTGAGTCTTGCCATTCAATCACTGGTGTTTATTATGTGCTAAGAAGGAGAGTTATAAAGATGAATAGGATATGGCTTAGTGCTGGGAAAACACAACTGAACTTGCAGCTCCTTGGTCATTAGCCATTAGGCCTTAGATTCTTAATCATCCATTAGCAAAGCTAGTTTGGTGCCGCTGTCACTGGCTCCTTTGTTTTCGTTGGTGGCTTTCTTTTTCTGATTGTCATTTCCCTGCCTGGCTCCTTTCATTTATTCATTGAAAAGTTATCATTGATCAGTCCTTATTTTGGGATTTGGGGACTACTTCAGTGAAGTAAGAGACAGAAATCCCTGTCCTAAGGGGGCTTACATTCTAATGGGGGAAGACGCAATAAATAAGACATGAAAAATAATATGGCAGATGGTAATAAGTACAATAGAGGAAAATGAAGCAAGGAAGGGGAATGAGGGGTTCCA